ACGTATCTTGGGCCATTTGGGGCGCCTCTGACGGTCCAAGAAGCGCCCAAGAGGCCTCAAAGACGCCCCGAGCGTCCATTAGACCGCATCCCTCCCCGCCTCCCCCCTCCCCTGGACCCCTCCCTTGAGGGCGTCGCCCAAACACAACGTCATCACTCGTACCTCGCTCTTTCCGTTACCTGGGCCGGCACGGGAACGGAAAGAGCGGACCAAAAACTTGCCCGAGATGGCTCGTGAAGAGTTGTTACGTCGCCGCTCTCCGTTGGGAGCCCTGGTGTTCAGAGACTTTTACATTGCCGCTCGCCCTTGGGAGCCTTGGTGTGACGAGCTTTTTACGCCAATGCGCTCTGGGGAGCCTTGGTGTCAAGAGCTTGTTACGTCACCGCTTGCTGATGGGAGCCAGGGTGTTCTTGAGCGTCTCTTGGGCCTCGTCGGAGTCTTCTTGGGGTCCTTTGGAGCCCTTGTGGAGCCCTTTGAAGGAATTTTTGGACAGTCTTGAGGCTCTATTGGGGCCGTCTTGGGGCGTCTTGGAGCCCTCTTGGGCCGTCTTGGGGATCTCTTGGGGCCCTCTCGGGGCCCCCTTGGGGCCGTCTTGGGAGCCTCTTTGGGCCCTCGTGGGGCTCTCTTAGAGCAGTCTTGGGGCCTTCTTGGGCCGTCTTGGGGCCCTTTGGGCAGTTTTGGGCCCTCTGGGGCCGTCTTGGGGCCCTTTCGTGGGCCTCTTGGGCCGTCATTGGGGCGATCTTTGGAGCCTCTTGGGCTGCTTTTGACCGTTCTCGGCCCGAAAAGGCAAGAGCACCAACACCCTGCAAAAACCATACAGAAACCAATGTGTTTTGCTTCTGGGGGCCCTATCGGGGGTCCTCTTGAGGCTCTCTTGGGCTGTCTGGAGGCCATCTGAAGCTCTCTTGGGGCCGTCTTGGTGCCCTCTTGGGTTGTCTTGGTGCCCTCTTGGACCGTCCTGGGGCCCTTGGGCCGCGTCATTCGAAAAAAATACCAGGAAACGGGCCATGGGAGCCGCCCAGGAGCCGCTTCATTCAAACAAATCGAAGGAGGCGGCCCCTGGGCGGTGATTAGATCCGATACTTCTGGCCCACGCCCCTCCCCTGGACCCCTCCCTAGAGGGCGTCGCCCAAACACAACGTCATCACTCGTACCTCGCTCTTTCCGTTACCTGGGCCGGCACGGGAACGGAAAGAGCGGACCAAAAACTTGCCCGAGATGGCTCCTGGCACCGTTCGCTCTGGGGAGCCTTGGCATCGCTCTCTGTTGGGAGCCTGGTGTTCAGAGACTTTTACGTTGCCGCTTGCTCTTGGGAGCCTTGCTGTTCAGAGCTCTTTACGTCTCTGCGCTCTTAGGAGCCTTGTTGTTCAGAGCTTGTTACGTCACCTCTCACTGTGGGAAGCCATGGTGTTCTTGGCGTCCATTGGGCTTCTTGGGAGATTTTTGGAGGCCCCTTGGGAAAGTTTTGGAGCTCTTGGGCCGTCTTGGAGCCAGCCCAATCCCTACACCCAAACAGCCCAGTCCCCACACCGCCTCTTCGGGCCCTCTTGGGAGCCTCTTGGGGCCATCTTGGTGCTCTCGTGGGGCCGTCTTGGGGCCCTCTGGGGCTGATTTGGGGCCCTCTTGGGCCGTCTGAGAGCCCTCTTGGACTGTTTTCGGCCCCTTTGGGGGGCCTCTAGGGCCGTCTTGGGACGAGCTTTGGGGCCTCGTGGGCCGTCTGGGGCCCGAAAAAGGCCAGAACCCCAACAATCTTAAAAAACCTTAAGCCAAAAACGACGCGTTTGGCCTCCTGAAGCCCTCTCGGCGCCCTCTTGAGAGCCGTTTTGGGGTTCTTGGGCCGTCTTGGGGTCAGCTCAGTCCCCACACCCAAGCAGCAGTCCCCACACCGACTCTTCGGGCCCCCTAAGGAATATTTGTTTTTTGTTGTTCCTGCCGGCGCTGGCTGCGGCATGTTCTGCCGCAGCGGCGCAGCTTCTCCAGGGGCGCTACAGTGTCCGCCGAAAAGGCTCGCAGCAGCTGGTCCGTAGAACAACCTCTGCTCTGCGGCTAAATGTTCGCGCCGGGCGCTGCGACGGGGGGGCTCCCCATCGACAGATTGCGCCGCCCAGTGCCCATCAATCGTGGAGGCGCTGCCTGCGCGACAGCGGAGTGGTATAATGCCTGCTCGTTGGTGCGAAAATCCGCACATGAGATTATAAAAACGCAACGGAATAAAACATCTGGTGCCGCGGACACCAGACGCCTTCATCCGCCACGAGGCCCCCTCTGGCGGCAGCCCAGAGCTTAGAAAAGGAGCGCGCCAGGGCCCTTTTCCAGAGGGTCGATGGCTTGCCGCCCCCAGTCTCTCCCGATCCCCACCTTCACAGCCCTGCGCAGCCTTACGGGTCCATCCTGCCGTGCAGTCGGGATCCTATGGACAAGAACGGGAGAAGGGCAAAGAGCCGGGGCTAGCTGCGGGGCGAGGGCGGCAGCACAATGCCGGGGCCTCCGCAGGGCGAGCCCGCTGGTTTCGACAGCTGGAGAGCAGGCGCCCTGGCCCCCCTGCCGGCCCCGCGCGGACTGCACCCAGGAGCTCTGCTGAGACTTGTCGCATTCACACGGCCCAAAGATGGTGCAACGCAGCCGGCCGCCACTTCCCTTCCCCCACCACTCGTTCTTCCCCACCAGCCCCAACTCTTCCCAAGGACCCAGCTCAGCGGGTCGCTGCTTAGCCTCGAGTTCAACGGTGCCAAATAACAGGTTGAACTCATTCAACGTAAAAAGCGGCAGGGAACATATTCTTGTTACAGACCAAGATCACCCCAGGAACCCCGTGACCACTTTGGGAATCTCTTGGGAGCCTCTTGGGGCCCTCTTCGGGGCCGTCTTGGGGCTGTTTGGGAGCCCTCTTGGGCCGTCTGGGAGCCCTCTTGGACCGTTGTCGGCCCCTCTGGGGGGCCTCTGGGGCCCTCTTGGGACGTGCTTTGGGGCCTCGTGGGCCGTGTTGGGCCCTTCTGGGCTCGAAGCGGTGGGAACCTGAAAAACCGTCAAACATCCAAGGGACATCAATAGTTTTGGCCTCCTGAGGCCCTCTCGGGGCCTCTGGAGCCGTCTCGAGCCTCCGTCTGGAGGCCATCTGAGGCTCTCTTGGGGCCCGTCGTTGGGATGTTTTGAGGCCCTCTTGGGCCGTCTTGGGGCTCTCTTGGGGCCCTCTCGGGGCCCTCTTAGGGCCCTCTTGGGAGCCTTTTGGGACCCTCAGGGGCCTCTCTTGGACCGTCTTGGGGCGGTTCTTATTTTGCAGGCAGATTTGAGATGGCAGTTGCTCTCAGAATAGCTTCTACCACATCAGCACCCCGTTCAGCAAGCTGTTCGTGGAAACAACGAATACAGCAGAGGCTGCAGGGCGTTGCTCAGAAGAACCCCGGTGGTTCAGACCAAACAGGGGGGGAATGACCCCGATGGCTCCGACCACACGGGGCCCCAACTCAATTTCGAAAGTCAGACTGGAGCTCAACAAATTGCGGACAGGAGAGGTGCGACAGGGGTCTCCAATCTTCTCCTCTGTCCTGTCATTTGGGCACTGCGCCCTAACAAAATGCATGACGCCACCAGGGACGAATGTGTACAGCTGAGGGCACTGCGCCCAAACAAACACGTGACGCCACCGGGGCTGCAGCCACACCGCCGAGAGTCCCACCAGCCCTCTGGGGCGCAGGTGGCACGATGTCCTCAGACGCAGACGGCGTCCGCAGCGGTGCGAGGCGCGCGGACGCGCAAGGCGGACATCCTCCCCTCCTGCCTGCCCCCGGCCACGCCACCGTCCTGCCATCCTCGATCCCTGATCCTCGATCTCTTGGGAGCTCAATGCCCTTTCTGCCTGATAGTTGAGCACTGCGGGCTCCGAGAGGAGCAAAGAGAAAGGCCAGGAAGCCAGGCCAACGTTAAAAGACAAAGCTGGCCTCCCCCTCTCGAGGCTACCAGCGCACGCGGCGCAGATTGGTCGAGGGTGAACAGAGGATCTCGAGGCCAGGGAGGGAGGAAAACTGTGAAGAGACCTGTGGCCTTGCAGAAACCTCGACGGCAAGTGCACCACACAGCTTACACAGAGCCACATGCGGCCGAAGGCAAAGTTTAAACGTTTACTCATTGGAGGCGTACTCGCCTTGTATGCCCGCGCGACGCTTCCCATCTTAGACCAGCATGGCCAATCCATGGGGCAAACCGTGCAGCATCACACGGCATCTGCGCTCAGGCTCATTCTTCTCCCCCAGCTCCGGCTGACTCCTGATTCCTGATTCCTGATGCCTGATGGCGTGAAAAATCCTGGACTGTCGCCCTCTCCTCCCCCCCCTCAGGGCTGGTCGTAGCCAATCCCCGCCGTATGCTGAGCCGCGGCGCGCGGGAGGCCCTTCTCCCCGCGCAGACTGGGCCAGGCATACTGGCCGTCGCCCGACCGCCCCCGAGGCGCTTTGGAAGCGCTCGGTGGTAGGCACCACTCCCGGCTCAATCCACGCTTCCTCCTCCCGCCCTCCCTCCCTCCTAATCATGGGGCCGCGGTGGATCCCGGCCGGCGTCTCGCCATCCATGATGGCCAGTGGATCCCCGCGGTGGATCCCATCCTAGGCAAGCACGTCCTGCTACTCTCGCTAAGGGCCCGTATCCGCCATGGGGGACTTGCGGTACATTACGTCGAGGCAGGCATGTGTTGCTCGGACGTTTGCGACAGGGCTGGACCTAAATAGTGTGCTTCGTTTTCGCTTTGTGCTCGTTCTTCCTCGTTGTGTCTTGAATTAGCCTCTGCTGCAAGACGACATCGAAACGAGTACGGCCCACGCAATCGCCAAAACAGCGTTTAGGTCCATCTCCTCCTCCTCCTCCTCCTCCTCCTCTCCTTCCTCCTCATGCTCCTCCTCCTCCTCCTCCTCCTCCTCCTCCCCTGTCCCTATCCCTTCCCGCCTCCTCCTCCTCCTCCTCCTCCTCCTCCTCCTCATCCTGCTCCTCCTCCTCCTCCTTCGCCAAAACACCGTTTGCGAGTAGGCACTCTGCGAGTCGTAGAACGCGCTCGGTGACAGCCAGGGGCACCACCTGGGCCCTTCCCCGCCGGCGCGCTCGGCGCACGGCCGCCCCAGCCCGTGCGCTCCCCGCGGGCGCGCGGGGGGGGGGGAGGGCGAGGTGCCGCAGAGCTCGAGCCCAAGCGAGCTGCTCCTGTGCTCGCTCGGTTGTTGTTCCTCGACAGCGGCCCTCGGGGGGGAGGAGGAGGAGGAGGAGGAGGAGGAGGAGGAGGAGGAGGAGGAGGAGGAGGAGGAGGAGGAGGAGGAGGAGGAGGAGGAGGAGGAGGAGAAGGAGGAGGAGGAGGAGGAGGAGAAGAGGACTATATATATACTATCGGAGCCGAAGCGCGGAGCGCGAAGCACGAATGTTGAGCAGGGACTGACCGTCCCAGCATTCCTGTACGAGATCGCCGAAACACCGTTTAGAGCTCGAGCCTTGTGCTGCTGCTGATCGTCAGCAGACGGGCTCACGCCACGCCGCTCGGTTCCACCGTCACAAGAGCATCCGACAAGAAGCCAATGCCGGCTGGAGGAAAATTCCTGGAGGCATGCCTACAGTCCGCGTGCCGTGCGAGCCTTCGAACACAATCTGCCTGTCTGTGATCTTCTTGATCTGACGCTGCATCCGGCGCCGCTGCGTCCGGGTCGGCGAACCGAACACCCGAGACGGGCGCTCCGAGCCGCCGCCGCTGCTCATGTCCTCCACCAGAGAGGCCATCCACGGGATCCCCGCCTCGCGCCAGGCGCTGAGCGACATCTGCTCCTCGAACGGGGCACTGGCCCGTACCAAGCCCCCAGGCCACGGGATCTCCTCCTCGCGAGGCAAGACGGGCGCCCCGACCGGGTTCCGCTGCCACCCGCCTTCGATGCTCCTCGTGGCCACGGCGGAGGTGTCGATGTTCTTCCGCGTCACGACAGCGGAGGCACACGCCTGCCTGGAAGGCATGGCGTCTGCACAAGGCGGACCGCCTCGGTGTTCGCTGAACGCGGCCGGGGGTGTAGGGGGGAACGCAACACCGGGGATCGAGCGCTGGAGCGGCATGGCTTGAGCCAAAATGGCCACTGAGCCGTCTCGGGGCGGTGATGGGGGCCTCTTTGGCCGTCATAGACGGTATGAAAACAGAGACACGAATGTGCCAACCATGCGCATTTCCCGTAGGAAGGAGACGATCGTTTGCCTTTTGGGGGTCCTCTTGAGGGCCTCTTGGAGCGTCTGGAGGGCCGATTCGGTCGTCTTGAACTGATCGTGGACCGTCCTTGAGCGCTCTTGGGCCGTGTTGGGTTCCTCCTGGACCTCCCTGATGAGGACGTTTTGGAAGTGTCTTCAGCCGTCTTGGGAGCCTTTTGGACCGTCTCGGGCGCTCTTGGGGCTGCTTCATCTAGAGCCGAGCATGGCAGATCCTTGGGGCGATTAGATCTGGGACGAGCCTGCCAACCACCTCGCACTCTCCGTTGTCAGTTCTCCCAACTCACGGATCGCAACGCTACGCGCGCTTTCTGTCATCCGCCGCCCCCTGATGATTTATCACAGGGATGCCTGGCGTGCTGGACGTCTGGGTGGTTTCGGATCTTTTCTAAAGACCTCGGAGTAGGGCTTCGGCACAACCCGCCAGCCACCTGGAAAACCGCCGGAAAACCTTTTATTGCTGGTCACATCGCCTCCGACACGGCTAAGACGGCCTCAGGTGGTCCCCAACATGGTCCCAAGACGCCTCCAAGACGGCCAAGAGGGCCCCGAAGGGCCTAAGATGGCTGAAAGATCTCTCCAATATGCCTGACACGCGCATTCAAAAAAACGTGCGTCCAGATTACCCAACACGGCCCACTCCAAGAGGAAGCACAGGAATGCCTGACGAGGCCAAAATCCCACCAGCCCTCTGGGCGCAGGTGGTTTACGGAGAATCCTGTTCCACCCCTCCTTCTTCCCCTTCGGGGAGGGGATTACCCCTCGCGAGTCGTCGGAGCGTCCAAAACGGCCTCGGCGAGGAAGCCAGAATCATTTATTTTAATATGGTTTTGGCTCCATGTTGGCCTCCTGGGGGGGGGGCTGAAATTAGCCCCCCCCCACCTGTGATCGATCTCGCCCAAAATGGCCCACATATGGCCCCCAAGGCTCCCAAGGGTGCCCCAAGAGGGCCCCATGAGGTGACCAGGAAGCCCCAAGAGGCCCCCAGGAGGCCCCAAATATACCTTTTTAAAAAAAATTCCCCCATGCCTGTAGCGGATCCCGCCGACAGGGAAGAACTCCGATCTCCTCGAAGATCCCGTAGTACCCACCCACGTCGCAGCTGGAGCCCGTCATCCAGCGGCTTCCCCGTCTGCGGATTCTTCTCAGCCAGATTCCTGCCCCTTCTTGCGCTTGGCGTCGTCCTTTGTGCTGAGGCCCCTCCTTGCCAGCGGCCCCGTGCAGGCGATCCGAAGGCCCGCCCGCCTCCGCGCAGAGTAGGCCCCGCACGCCGTGCACACCGCGCACGGCCAATGCACCTCCACTCTGTGCTGACGCGGTCCGTCCTCCTGCACAGGTGCTGTTGGTGCTTGTCGTGGTGGTTCTTCTGCAAGCTGCGCCCCTGCCGCTGCTGCAGCGGCTGCGGTCATCACCACCGCGACGCTCGCCTCCAGGGAGCCCACCCTGCCTGCATTGCGCGAACCCGCTGAGGTCCACGGCGGCGGCTGGCAGTCCGACTCCCAGAGCTCCCTCCTCATGCGCTGTGTAGCAGCTCGCCCACCGCACCGCGCACACCACACCCAGCCACCGTACTCCTTCACCTCGTGCCTCGTCAGAGTGATTAGTGGCGTTGGCTGTCGGCGTAGTGGTCGTCCACGTACTCGCTTCGGTACGTCTGGCCACTCGCCCTCCATCTGCTGGTGCCACCAACCGATGTTCTGCGCCGCCCAGCGTGCACGGCCAGCCGGCGCCTCCACCGTCTGGTGCTTCCCGTCATTCGCGCCCACCTCGGCCCCCGCCTTGGCTAGCAGGTCCACCTCCGCATTGCCCTTCGCGATCCTGAGCTCCGTGCCAGTGAGCTGCTCGATCTTCGCCTTGGGCCTGTGCGCCTTGACGTGGAAAACCCCGTTCACACCCAGGTCGAGGTCACGAATTTTGTGCAAGATGCGCTTCCAGATGTCGGCGTGCGGCCGCTTCCAGCTGATGCACCATCGCTCGCCCTTGTGCAGGCCCTCGATGATGCCCCTGTGGTCACTGTGTATGTTGCCTCCAGTACCTTGTAAAAGGCCCACATCTCCGCGCGCTTGATTTCCCTATGCATTGGGAGCGTGCACGGCAGTGGCCCCCACATCTGGTACTTCGGCGTCCCGTTCTCGTTGATCGACATGGCCGCCCAACCCGTCTGCGCCCACTCACTGTAACCTATATTGGGCCCGTCGCACACGATGTCACCTGTGAAGTAGTCTTCATCGCCCTCCACGGTCTGGCACATGAGCTGGCCCTCATCGACGCCCTCGGACTTCCAGTCCTCTTCTGGGTGCCCCACCAGCCCCCGCGCCCAGAGCAAGCTATCCTCCTGCTGCGCAGCCACCGTCTGCCACTCAGGTTGCGCATGCAAGCGCCGCTCCCTCAAGGCCTGACATTTGAAATGCCCGTGGTGCGGGGTGCCCACCGCCTCCCCGCACGCCAAGCAGATGTCCGCTGGCACGATCTTGCACTCGCAACGCTTGCTCATGGACCAGCCCCCGCCAATGAAGGCCTTCCTCGCTGCGCTCTTGGCGTGCTTCGGGAAGTCCCGCGCCTTCAGCTGCGCCACCGCTGGGGCCACCATCGGCGCTGGCCGTAGGCTTGCGTACTCGTCCGCCGCCGCCCAGTCCTGCCGCAGCTTCCGCTGCACGTCCTTCCGCGGCATCCCCGCGACATCCATGGGGCGCACCTCCCCCATGCCCAGGCTGGCCACGTCCACTGCGCACGCTTGGGCGACGTGGTCACCGCCCCCGCAGGCCCGCGTACCCTGGCCCACATGGGCTTCATGCGTACCTATTGCTGCTGGCGCCCCCACGCCTTCATCAATAATTCCACCGTATTGCCCAAGGTATGCTCTAGGTTTGCCCCTGTCCTTCCAGCACATGACGACTTGTAATCCATGGATCCCAAGACGTGCTCGGGATTCGCACCTGGCCGTCCAGCTCTTGACGATTCCTCCCATACTGCCCTTGCCCATCGGACGATGGGCGCCTCGGTGGCCTCGTAGGCGGGCTCCTCGTTCGCCAGCGCCAGCTGCAGCGCGAGGCTCTTGGCTCCACGCCCTCCTGGTAGTGCTCGTCCCGCTTGTCGCCGAGTTCGCCGTAGCTGATGGTCCGGCATGCCCAAGCACTTGCACCCGTACAACACCGAGCGCTTAAGGCCGCACTTAAAGACCAACGCCGCGCCCTTGGCCATCTTGCGGCCGCCGCCCTTGGGATTCGCAAGCCGCCGACTTCTGTCCAGCATGGTCTTGCATCGCTTGCCGCGCTTGGTCTTCGCTGCCGCGCCGTTCGCGATGAGGTCGACGCCCAAGTACGGGCGCGCCCGCACCACGGGCAGCCCACGCGCCTTCATCTCCTTCGCCGCCGCCCTGCGCACCCACTTGGCACTGGCCATGGCGGCTTCTTCGCCCTGGGTACTCACCGAGAGCTTCAGGCCCAGCTTGTCGAAGCCCCCGAAGCAGGCGTCAATGGTGTCGCTGAAGTCCTGCAAGATGTACTGCCGCTGCTGGCGTAGCCGCACACATAGATCGTCCACATGCATGCGCCATTTCGCCCGATGCCTCTCCACCACTAGGCCATCCACCGCAGACTGGATGACCAGCTTCAGGAAGCGCACCGAAAACTTACCCCCTGCTACGATCGCGCCCACCGTGCTGGTGGCGCTAGAGACGGACCCCCCGGCAATCAGCCTTCTGGCCATCGCAAAGTGCGAGCGCACCACTGCCAGTGCCCCCGTGCTGAAATTCAACTGCTTGCCCGCCTCCCATAAGACAAACAAGCTAACCCGCTCGGGGGCCTTGATCAGGTCCAATGCCGCCGTGATCGTGGCCTCCAGCTCCTCGCTCTGGCCCTCTGGATCATCCATTTCGTGACTCAGCAGCGCGTCCCGTGCAGCGTCCTCCGCCGCCTTGCCGAAGCTGGTGCAGTCCCAGCTCCTCTGGTTCTCCTCCGCCCACCTAGTCATGTACGGCGCCCGCATGATCTCCCATATACGTATGGTGGTGTGCAGGAGCCCTATAACCCTATCTGTCGTGAAGGGCTTCGGGATAATGAAGAACAGCACCGTGCCCATGTGGGTCGGCCACCCCAGCGCACGCTCCACCTCCCGCATTGTGTCCAGCAGCTTGCTGTACGCCTCGTCACTCGCTCCCTGCAGCATCGACGGGTGCCAGCGGTCCACCCCAATACCTGTGCGCTTCATGAAGGTGCGCACCACCTCCTTCAGCCTGCTGACGTCCTCCTCGGGGTAGTCATCCAGCTCATCCCTGGGCTCGTGCCCCAAGGCCATGGTTCCTCCTGGTAGACCTCGCCCACCCGCCAAACGTCCTTCCGCTGAGCGAAGGTGAACTCCGCCGCCTCCATGGGGTCCGCTGCTTTGGCCATCGTATCTGCACTCCTAGGCCTCCACACCGCAGCTGCCTTGCTCATCCTGCGGAGCCTTCCTGCCGCACCTGCCGCCGCGGCCTCCAGCTTGTCAGCCCACTTGGCCTGTCCTTGAGCAACTGCTGATCGACTGTCTTCATTTTGCTCTCCGCTTCTTTCACCCAGGCCTGGAAGGTCTCGCCCCTGCTGACGTCCCTCAGATGGCTCGCGACGGTCACGTCGCACCTGGCCTGCCATATACCCTGGTCCGTTACGCTGATGTACTTCATTCGGTGGGGGCGCACCTGGAAGAGCCTTCCGCGTGGTGAACCTCGCGCTTCCGCTTCTGGTGCTCGTCAGGGCCCCTCTCCTTTGCCATCCGCCACCGTTGGTGCGCGCCCTGCAAGCTGCGCAAAGTTCGCGTAGCCCATCTCCACCAGGTCGCTGCCCTAGCCGCTGTCGGTGCGTTTGCGCCCCCGAAGGTCAGGGGCTTGACTCGCCACGTGGGCTCTTCCGCCCTGCCTGCGTGTGGGCCACTCGCCTCCCACTTCATGCCTCGCACCTGGACGGCCTCCTTTTCCAGCACCTGCATGTACTTGGTCCACTCGGTGTTCGCCGCCATCTGTGTGCTAAACTCCTTAACGTCCGCGTATCTCGGTGGCTTGGGTACGCCCCCGATCGGCACCTCTGGCAACTCCTTCGGCTCCCCGAGCACCCTCACCCTGAGCTGCTCCGCCTTCAGCTTGAGCGTGCGCCCCACTGGTTTACGTGGCGCCGCAGGCCACGTCTCCTGCACCGCGACGCGCTCCACCTGCGCGATCACCGAGTTCGCCACCGCGAAGTAGTCGATCTCGCTGTTGCCACGCGCGTGCCTGTAGGTTCCGCACGCTGCGTTGGCCGTGACCACTGTGGCCTTCGCAACTTGAACGCTCGCCACGTTCGCCATGACATCTGGCGCCGCCTGGAAGTCGCCCCCGATGACCCCGATGACCCGCGGCACGCCCCCGGAAACTCTGCAACTTTCCAATCGCATGTGTGATCCGCTGCGTGTTTCCTGTGCGTCATGCCCTCCGCTGTCCACAAGCACGCGGAGGCGAGCACAATACCTCTGCCTACTGAGAGCCACGCCGCTGCCGCCCTGCCTGGGCTGGCCTGCGGGGAAATGCCATAGTCATCATTGCCAAACATGTAACTCATCCCAACTCGCTCCGACGCCACAGCCGCCACGCCTGCCGACGTGCCTGGCTCGCCATTGGGTCCCGCTGTGGCCACCGCCGCAGCGCCACCCATGAGGTAACCTTCTGCCTTCATGCTCTGCGTGACCACCGCGAGCTTGTCCGTGTTCAGGTGAAGCTCCTGCGCTTCGTAGCACGTCCATTGGGTGACCGTATCATGCTGGGGCTTCCTGTTGCGCTTGCTGCCCTCGCCGCTGTCTCTTGGCTGCCTGCCCGGCCAGGCTGGCGCACACCTCCTGCCAACGCTTCCGTTGATCAGGTGTAGCTTCTTCTGGTACTCTGCTTGCCCTGAGCCATCCCTGCTCTTCAGCAGTGGGCTCTGGGAGTTCTGCTTCCTCGGGTAGTGCTTGCCCAACTGCTTCTCCTGGTGCTCCTGGTGCTCCTGCGCTCCGACCTGCACCATGTGCCCGAGGCATATCAGCGCCACCTGCAGCAGCCATGTCCACGTCCTCCTGCTTCGCGTTGGCCATGACCTTGCCGAGCAGGTCGGATACCTGCTGGTACTCTTCCTTGGTGACTCCGCTGCCGTCGACCGCGTCCTCGAAGTGCCTCTGCGTGGCTTTGAGGAACTCGGGCGACTCACGGACTCCGCAGTCCTGCACCTTGAGCTCCTGCTCCTTGGCCGTCGCCATCTGCAGCTGCTCCTTTTTCTTCTCGTACTTGGCTCGCGCCTCCTCCAGCTGCTGCTCGTGCCAGCTGACGTCTTTGGCGCTCGCCTCAACCTCCTTCTCCAACTTCTCCCTGGCGTGCTTCGCCTGCGTGAGCTGCACGGAGTGCGGCTTGGCATTGTCCTTCTCAGCCCTGGCCGCTTGGTACTTCGCGAAAGCTGCCTTGTACTCCTCCGAGTTCCCCCGCCCCCGCTCGCTCTTGCACGCCTGCGCCCACTTGTGGAGCCTCGCCAGGTCGACCTGCGGTGCCTCTTTCGCCCCATCCACAGTCTCTTCCTTGCCGACCTTGCCGCTGCCCCTGGGCGCCGTGAGCTCCTGCGTGAGCACGTCCAGCTTCTTCTGCATCGCCACCTCCCGTTTGGACGGGCCCAGCAGCGCTTCTTTGAAGGTGGACGGCCGCCGTGGTGCTTTAGCCCCACACCCACAGCAGTGCTTCCTCGTCGCGTAGTTGTCCTCTGTCCCGCAGCTGCAGGACCACTTGCTTTTCCCACTGCACCCACCGCGCCACGGTGGCGCCCACGCCGCCATGGCACGCACACCTGCTCGGGCACCGTGAGTTGTAGGGGCGCCGCCCCCGGAATCTCCAGATCTGTCCGCGGTCCAGCGGTATCCATTGGACACCGCTGGGGCAGAGGCATCTTAAGCCAAAACGGCTACGGGAGGCTCCCAAGAGACCTCCAAGAGACCTCCAAGAGGCCCCAAGAGACCCCCTAGAGGCACCCAAGACGCTCCAAGAGGCTTCGGCGACAATGCCAACATCGTTGATGTTACTCTGGTTTTGGACACATTTGGGCCTCCTGGGGGGGGGGGCATTGCTTCAGATGACTCCAAGAGCGCCTGGGAGAGCCAAAGATGATCTCCAAGATGGCTCAAGATATCCCAAGATGCCTCAAAATGGCGCCCACGATGCTCAAAGAGGCCCCAAAACCGCTCCAAGACGGCTCCAGGACTCCAGGGGGCCAACGAGCTCCCCCAGGAGGCCCCGAAGAGGCCCAAATCCTTCCAACACCTAGGGAAATCTATGTTTTTTGGCCTTCTCCGCGAGGTCTCAAGATGGCTCCAGAATGGCCCAAGAGGGCTCCAAGAGCGCTCCCAAGGCTCCCAAGAGCGCTTCAAAAGGGCCCCAAGACGCGTCCAGGAGGCCCCAGGAGGCGCCCAAGAGGCCTCCAAGAGGCCCCCAAGAGGCCCCCAAGAGACCCCCACGAGGCCCCAAGAAGCTCTCCGAGGCACCCAAGACGCTCTAAAAGGCGTCCGGGACCGCCAAGAGGCCCCCAAGACGCTCCAAGAAGCCTCCACTGGGGTACCCTTCCTCTCTGTGCTGCCCGCTTCCCTGATCGAGGCAATTCCTCTGGGCATCGTTTCTGGATGGGCTGGTGGGGATTCGCGAAGCGTCAACAATTATTGATTTTCGTCAGGTGCTTGAAGATGTTTGGCGTTTGCTCTGTTACGGTCTTCCGACGGTCCAAGCCCAACAAACCCCGAAGATCGCCCCAAAATCGTCGCAGAGGCTTCCAAGATGTCCCAATGACGGCCCAAGAAGCACCCGAGTCGGTCATCAGAGGGCCCAAGACGGCCCAAGAGGCCTCCCAAGCATTCAAGATGGCCTTCAAGACGGCCAAGATGCCCTCAAAAGAGACCTGCATGGCCGCAATCTGTCTTTAAGACGGCCCAATGTGGGCCTGAGACGGCCCGAGACGGCCCGAGAGGCCCTCAAAAGGCTTCCGAGAGAACCGCTAGGAAAGCCTAACGAGATCGCTCCTCCTCTTCTTTCTTCTCACCCACGTGTTCCCCGAAGAAATTCCACAACGGCTGAGGGGGCACATGTTCTGATAGCTCGGCTGAGCTCTGGTCATAATGTTCGGCCACATAGGTGCTTCCAGAAAGCAGGAGTGCACGGCGTACTGAATTGTTGGTGGCTGTTGGTTCTTGACGAACTCTCAATGGGGTTTCGGCCCAACCCGCTGGCCACACGGAAAGCATTACAACTCCGCAGCATCCACCTCTTGTTGGTCAAAACGCCTCCAGCACGGCTCAGATGGCCCACGATGACCTCCAAATTGGCCCCCAAGACGCAGCCAAGACGGCCCCGGGAGATCCCAAGATACGTAGCCCGAAGATGGCCTCCAAAACAGTCCCAAAATGCCTCCAAGACCGCCAAGATGAAGATGGCCCCAAGATGGCCCGAAGACGTCCCTGAAGCACCAACTAATTTCCCACGACGGCCCAGGGGCGCGCCCAAGAGGGTCTGCGAAGGCCAAAAGGCCCCCGAGAGGCCCCCAAAGAGACCCCCACCAGGCCCTCAAGAGGCCCCAGGAGGCCCTCAGAAGCCCCCAAGAGACCCCCAAGAGGCTCACCGGATGCTTCCGTTCATCCTCCGCCTCCTCCTCCTCCTCCTCCTCCTCCTTCTCTTCCCTCCCCTCCTCCTCCTCCCTCCTCCCTCTGCCTTCCACAAATCTTCCCCCAAGGGTTTCCACAACGGCGGGGGGAATAGTCCAATAGAGTTGCATGACTTCGGCCCAAAGTTTGGCCACATGAGCGTTTCCAATAAACATGGGGCGGCGCTGGTTCACCGTAGGCGTTTTCGATACATGAAAGGCGCCCAAAGAGGCCTCAAAGAAGCCACAAGAAGGCCCCAATAGTGCCCCAAAAGCTTCCAAGAAGCCTCCTCCTCCTCCTCCTCCTCCTCCTCCTCCTCTCCTCCTCATCTCCTCCTCCTCCTCCCTCCTCTCTCCTCCTCCTCCTTCCCCACCTCCTCCTCCTCCTCCTCCTCCTCCTCCTCATCATCATCATCAGCAACATCATCATCATCATCATCATCATCATCATCATCATCATCATCATCATCATCATCATCATCATCATCAGCATCATCATCATCATCATCATCATCATCATAATCATCATCATCATCATCATCATCATCATCATCATCATCATCATCATCATCATCATCATCATCATCTTTCCTCCCTCGCGTCCTCCTCCGCTTCCTCATCCCAAGTGTTCTCCGACGGGTTCCCACAACGGCTGGGTGAGCACGCGGTCCGTTGGCGTGGCCGAGTTCTGATTACAACGCTCGGCCACACGAGCGCGTCCAGGGGCGGGTGGCGGCGGTGATTCGCCGGGGGCGTCTTCGATACAAGAAGGGCGCCCAGCGGCGGAGCGCCGAAACTGGTTGCACGCGGCAGCTTCAGCAACCAGCTCCCCCTTCACAGTCTGAGGCGCAACGTAGAAAGGGACCTGCTCAGGGAGGGGCATCGAGCTTGGATCGGCGATGCATCGCCGAGAGTTGGCGGTGAGCCCAAGGGGGATGAGAGGGGGCATGCCTTCTCGGAAGGCGGGAGGGCGTCTCAGAAGCCCTCCGGCATCCTGAGCCTTGTGAGAAAGCCCGCCCCCTATGACTTCCCCCCCATGGGCTCGCCGCCGACATAGATCGGCGATGGGCCTACGATAGCGAAACCGAACGTTCCGAGGATGGTGCACCCTGCTGCCCCAGTCCGGTGGGCCCGGCCGATCCGGTGGGTCGGGTCTGGCGAGTCCGATGAGTCCAGCGGGTCCGGCGAGTCCGGTGAGTCCGGCGAGTCCAGTGGGTCCGGCGGGTCCTGTGAGTCCAGCGCCTCCTCCGCTGGCGCTGGTGGGTCCGGTGAGTCCGGTGAGTCCGGTGAGTCCGGCGAGTCCAGTGAGGCCATGTGGAAGCTGTTTTCGGGCCCTGGGACCGCTGGAACTCGGTCCGGGACGCACTCAAACTCCAGATTCAAGGCCCGACCTGCACTCACACTCAGTCTCCCCCACAGTCACACTCACTCATACCTCATACTCAGACTCATCCGCACTCAGACTCACTTACACCCAGACGCAAGCACAATCAAACCCAGTAGCACACAGACCCATTCACACACAGACCACTCACACTCCTAGAAGCTAAATCTCATACACAGTCACACTCAGGCGCGCACTCATATACACTCACACTCCACTTCTCCTCCGCCCTCTCATTCTGGTACTCCTCATCCTCCTCCTGCTACCCAATTCCGTTCGCGCTCCTCCTCCCCCTCGCTTTCCTCCTTCTCCTCATCCTCTTTCCCCTTCTTCGCTCCCCTCCCCATTCTCTCTCTTCAAGATAATTAGCCTGGGCATCGTTGCTGGATGGGCATCGACGCACACGGACCCATTCACAAACAGACCACTCACACTCCTATAAGCTTAAGCTCATACACACTCAAACTCAGGCGCACACCCATATACACTCACACTCCACTTCTCCTCCCCCATCTCATTCTCGTACTCCTCATCCTCCTCCCACTGCCCAATTCCGTTCGCTCTCCTCCTCCCCCTCGTTTTCCTCCTTCTCCTCATCCTCTTTCCCCCTCCTCGCTCCACTCACCATCCTCTCCCTGATCAAGATAATTCGCCTGGGCATCGTTGATGGATGGGCATCGACTGCAGGGGCCGATATACGCATTAGGGCCACTGGTGGCAATCGTCTGCAATCGTCTGCAGCAAACGATAGCAGACGATAGGACCAGCTAGCGGCCGCCAGGAACCGCTGCAGACGATTGCAGACAATAGGTCCAGCTGGGGGCCGCCAAGAACCGGTGGAGACGATTGCAGACGATAGCAGACGATAGGATCTGATAGGGGCCGCCAGGGGTGGCTGTCGTCTGCTACCGTCTGTCTGCAGCAGACGATAGCAGACGATAGGGCTAACTAGGGGCTGCCAGGGCCCGCTGCAAACGATAGAGAAACGGTGTCAACGATAGCAGACGATGGGATCTGATAGGGGCCGCCGGGGGTGGCTGTCGTCGGCTATCGTCTGCAGCAGACGATAGCGGACGATAGCAGACGCTAGGACCAGCTGGGAGCTGCCAGGACCCGCTGCAGACGAAAACTGACGATAGCACGAAACCAGCTGCGGGGCCTGCAGGCACCGCAAGGGGCAAACAGGAGGCAACAAGGCACTTGAATGCAATCGTCTGCTATCGTCTTCTATCGTCTGCCTTCATCGGCTATCGTCTGGCACCAAATAGCCGACAGCGTTTGCAACTACAATGTTTTTTTTTAGCCTTTTCGCTTTTTCGCTTCCGATGGGCTCTTGAGGCCTCAAGATGGGCCCATGGTAGCCCAAGGGATTCCCAAGAGGGGCTGGAGAAGGCCCCAAGACGGCCCCAAGAGCGCCCAAGAGCAGCCAAAAAGGGTCCCAAGATGCCCTTTTTAAGCCTCCGAGAGAGAAACGTACATTGAAAACATCTCAGTTTTTGAATGGCCTCCCAGACCCCCACAAAGAACCACAAGAGGGCCGCAAGACACCCAAAAAGAACCCCAAGAATGCCCCAAGAGGGCTCCCAAGAAAACCCCAAGAGACCCCCAAGAGACCCCCAAGATGGCTCCAAGAGACCTCCGGGAAAACGCGTCTGAGGCGGTTGTTACACAGCCTGTTTCCACCATCACCGTCAGCACCAGCAGCAACACCAGCAGCAGCAGCAGAACCACAACCACCACTAACAGCACTAGCAGCAGCGGCAGCACCA